TGGGACTCTGCATCACGGTGCCTACGTTCGTGATCGTATCGCTCCCACGAGGGAGAGTTGAGCAAACTGTACGAATTGAAAAGTGAGAGAAGCCACTCCCTCCAGCTACTGCAGCTCCATCTTCCTCGCTTCCTCGCTTTTGAGGCCTTTTAGGGTTTTACATCTCTATTCTCTATTCTGCAGGAATTTCCTATTCCCAGCTATTTCAGTCCCTTCCCCTGCCCTTCCACTTTATGCCGTGCTCAGCTGTTAAACAATTCCCTCTGCCAGAAGCACCACCGCTACACTTGAACACTTCATGTTCCAGACACGGAGGAAATGCAGGGCAGCCTGCACCAGCCTCCCTGCCTACTCAAAGACCATCCTAATATCAGTTTAAAATTCCAAGCAGTCTCTTCGGTATTATCTGCTTGCTCCTCTTTCAGCCTTAACTGCACTCTGAAAGCCAGACAATTGTTTGAAAGGGGCAATTTATTGTCTCACATAAGGTCAACTGCATAATGAATAATTTCACATAAATCATAAATGTGCTAAATTAAATCACCATTGAAGATCCTGGAAAAAAATAACATAAGCCACCAAATAATTTTAAAATCATACAAATCTAACAACTGAAAGGAGCTCTGAAATGATAGGGAGGGGATTGTTTAAAAAAAAAAAAAACCACCACCAAAACAAAACCCCCCCAGACTTCCTTTGCACGACTGTTGTAATATTTACAGAGAGCCTTCTATCTAAAAACCCCTTTAATACTTTCAATTAAGAAAAAGTTTATTACTTTGCTGAGTATATTTTAATATTTCTGTATGAACTCACTTTGATTTAAAAAAATTCCCCCTCCCCCCTCCCCCCCCGCAATGTCCATCTGTTTACAGGGTTCTATTGCTAACACAGAGAATAGAAAAATAACTAGGCTTCTGGGTAAGTTAATTTAAAAAAAAAAAAAAAGATGAAAAGGAAAAAAGACAACAACAGAAAGGTTGAATGCATGTAATTTGGTAAAATTGTGACTAAGGGAGGATATGATAACAGCCTAAAATATTTGACGTGTGTAAACATTAAAGACTGGCATGAAATAGTGTGGGCTGAAATGAAATTAGACTGAATAGCAACACAGTCTCCTAGACTATGGAATATTTTGCTAACAGGAGTGGTGTTTGAATCACTTAAAACTAGACGGGACGAGGAACTGGAGTACATACTACATGGTTAGAGCCACAGCTACATCAAAGGGTGATTTTCAGTCTATGAGTCACCGTGACAGCTGTGCCCCGCTGGGAAAATGCGTATCGCAAAGCTCAGGATGAGGCACATGAGAGCAGAGACAAAGCTTTCTCTGTCGAGGGGAGCTGGCTACACAGCCGTCTTCAACGAAGAGATCAGGCAAATCCAGAGTCTGAGCATCTTTAGGACACGCTGCAAAACCATCTCCCTTAAAAAGGTCTTTCCACTAGGAGACCAGCACAGTATCAACAGCCCATTCTACTCTGAAAGCACAATCAGCTGACAAAAATGAAGTCAAGAAAAAAGAAAATAAAGCCCAAACACACCACCAACCCAATGTCTCTATAAACAAAGATCTTATCCCGAAAGAACTTTGATGCTGAAATGTAGAAATGACCACCACTCTGTGAAGTCCACTACAGCCTCTCCTCCTCTGAAGTGGTGCCCACATACTGACCTCTGAATAAAACTCCTTAATCCAAAAGAAGAAACAAAATTACTAAATACTTTATCTTCTAGTAGTTGATTTTCTCATATAAATAACCTCAGGTCCAGGGTACAGAAGAATCCTGAAATGACAGGGAAGTAAGTGGACCATTTGCCCAGACTTCTTTCAGTTTCTATTTTAAACTCACAATTTAAAAAATTGCACATACAGTCTACCCAGTGGAAACTGCTGTTTAAAATCACTGTATTGAATGAAGATAAACTGAGGCATATACTGGTTTACACTCAGGGTCTACACATATGTCTCAAAATCAAAGTTTGCTAGCATTGTTTTATTATATTTATGTTGTATAAATCCAACGTAGTCCTCAAAGCCTTGCATTATCAGTAAAGTTTGCTGTGATGATTTGTGATGTTTATGTACTTCAGGTAACTCTTTCTCTGTTTAAATGACCAAAATGAAGGCGACTGTTCCAAAAAGGCTTCACAAAACTAAAAGCTGTAACAACAGAAATCCCCTTTCTTCATCCAAAATAACTGCAGCTGGAAATTACCCATGATCATTTTCATAATTATGAAATTCACTTTCATCTGAAAACAAATGGGAATTTGGAAACAGGCAGTGGTCATTCTTACTGTCTTATTGAGACAGAGCTACTCCTGGTGCATGTCCAGCAAAGCCCAACCTGCTGTAACAGTCATGAACATGGCCATTTAACAGGCATGAATTTGTGCAAACAGTAGTTCTCATGTACTAGCAAATTCACCTAAAAATTAGAAATATTTATTGCATACACTGTAGCTTTAAGTGGTAGTACTCTGTTCTAACCTAATTATAACAGAAATCATTGAGCCCTTCTCCCCTTCCCAGACATACCTAAAACCAGAAAATAAAATTACAGTTCTGCAGAAAGTTTGACTTGACTTTGGCTTGAGAGATACTGAATTACTGAATTTATTCCAAATGTTAAAAATGTTCCGCGTTTTTAGACTAGAAAACTCCGTGTTTTTCCTTTTTAAAATAGATAGCACTGTAGTCTAAACTATAAAATAAATAGTCAAAAACAAATACCATGTTTTTCTCCTAAAATGAGTTTAAATGTAACCTTGTCAAACCTTCCTGGTTTTGACCTGAGCAGAATTCTGGTTACGTTGATGTGATTTCTTAAAGCACTTTAACTCCAAGAGTCCTGCATATAATCAGCTCTTGATTTCCTATGGGTGAGTTATCCAATTTGCAGATTAAACCAGACTCTGCCATCTCCAGGATCACCCCTTGCTGCTGAGTAAGTGACACGGAGTACATGCTGCGCTGCCTGGCCTTCTTTACTGTTTGGTAAGTTATAGTGTTTTAAAACAGGAATTTTATGTATATTATTCTTATAACTTGACATCTAATCTATATGATGGGTTTTGCTTTATGTACATGTCTCCTCCCTTCAGCCCCCTTAATTTCCAAAGGTAACTGAAAGTGAGCTACGGTCGTCAGCGAGTATGACTTTGTCAAATGACTGGGAGTTTGCTGACAGACACTGCTTGAACATTCACTTTTTTCTCAAGTATCTTCTTACTGAACATACCTTTATAAAAAGTCTTTTATTAGCAGACACAGAATTAGTTTAGCGACCTTTCTTTCTTGTGTGATCTTATCTCGTGGTCTTTTATTTTCATTGAAACCAATGTTAAACGATGTGACTGAGATTATTAAAAGAAGTGTTATGTAGGCTACAGGAAACGAATGTGGGATTCTTTTAAATCTCTTCCTCAACCCTCATTCATTTGTACTACTTCTTTCTTTTTTCTTTCAATTGCTAATAGACGATAATGCTGGGGCCATAACAGCACACCCATCGCAACTGAAAGATACTATCTCTGTGTGGTGTGACAGGTCTGCAATGTTTCTGTGGCCTTTGCACAAACAGTTTCATGTCTAATTTAAATTATATTAGTGCGTGCAATTAGTGCCAGTGTGGCAATACATAGCCGCTTGTGCACGTAGCTGCACAGGCTTTATATGGAATCCTCAAACTGCCTTTCTACAGGCAGATGAAGAAACAGGCCCGTGTCGATACATCACATGAACAACTGCCCAGCTGCAAAGTTTTGATGTAGCTTTCAAACCAAAGGTCTGTGCATCCTTGTTCTCCAGAATACTGAGGAAAAGCAGCTCCATGATGAGTACTGATGCAAAACACATATTGGGTTGAACAGTCAGAAGGAAAAGTGTTCTTGGGACAATTCTCAAAAGCTGGGATTTTTTTTTTCGCATAATAGATCTGATAATTCGCGAGACCTGCCATCTCTTATTTCTGTCATCAAACAGGAAACAGAAATAACAGAATGTGACTTGTGGCTGATCATGTGACAAAAAACCGATCACGAACCTCCTCCTGGACTGTCTACGGAAAAATCACAGGACACGGTTTGTTTACACAAGCTATTTGATGAATCATTGTGAACAAATAGACTAGAATCAGGTTATTTAAAACAAAAAAAGGGTTAAATTAGATTGTTCATGATGACTGTGATCAAATCTGTAAGTGGCTTATTTTATCTCATTACACAAAATATTACTTTTTATCTAAACAGATTACTCAGTGCCTAAGTATAAGGCATTTAAGTGTCTCATGGTAAAGTGGGCCACACTGAGCAATATTTTGAGTGAAGAAGAAGAAAATTTTGAGCCTCTTGCAATTCAGGTTCAGGTCACTTATTTTATTCAGCCTAGGCTGCACATTCCAAACCCAAACTTGACTCTCACTGACATTATAAATGTCGCTTGCCCTACTCCAGATACTACGAGTCTTTTTTTCTTTTTAAGCACACTAATATTCAAACATCTTCTGCATGGAAACAAAATCAGCAGTTTCTCTTTCTATAACTATCTCTGACATAGATAGCACCAACGGCTTCTGGCACAAACAGGCAGGAGCTTTCGGATAGGTTATCAGTCACTACACACAGGCTGGGTATAGATCCCCAACTCTTCCTGGAGGTATCAGGTTCCAGAATTAGGGTTTCTGGCTCAATTCCATTGCAACTTGGTAGGCTTTGAAGAAGGAACCACTGTTCCTGCTTCACAGAATAAATCATCCTGCAAAATATTGATTGCCTGGTTCCAATAAACCACTCTGTACCTTGCAAAGTATATCCTTAGCTGCACTTGGTAGATCATTCTTCTTTCAGTACTCTCTCTCTCTCTCTCTCTCCAGAGTTTTATCGACAAGCCTAAAACAAGTGATTTCTCAGAGCACAGACATGCTCTTTCTAAGAACACAGATATCTCGCAAGAAAATCTGCACCAAGAGGTTCAGAAAGCATTGCTGCACGTGGGAAGTTGCATTTCACAAGCCTCTCACGACACTGCTGCCATTATGCATGCCAATAAAACCAGGGCATAGGCCCTTGGAGGTAAGCGCTGCATTTATTTGGTCTTTAAGCTTTGATAGAGTATTAGCTGCTGTGTGATCTTTATTAGAAGCAAGGAAACACCGTGTAGTTTGTCAGGCAGTGGCAGATGTGAACTAGCACATGGGGGTTTTTTTGTTTTGTTTTTCACTCCTAGCAAGTTCTGAGAGCCCTGCAAACAAACATTGACCAAATTCTGTGTATCAGTGTATAATGTGCATTTTTTGGTGCTTTTTATTTCAAGCTTTCATTCACTATAGTGGGGTTATGGTCAGAAAAGCACTACCTGAAAATACGGCCTTCTTCACTATGCTTCTTATCGTCTTATTAACCACAGTTTTTACTGTATCTGCTTACACTACTCAGGTACACGAACACTGAGAGGGAAGATATAAACTAGATTTATGCTGGTTGCCCAGACTCACCCTGGTATAATATATTATTATATAATAAATCAATACTTCCCTGTGGAGGGAAAGCTGGAAGTAGTTTTATCACTGAATCTTAAACCACAGGCTGGTCCCCGTCCCCACTCAGCTGCTCATTGCTGCCATCTCAGAATTTGCTGGCAAGCTGCTTTTTATGGCTGCCTCTGGCTCATTTGGCCTGAAATCAATGAACTTCAACACAGAAGTGAGAAGCTTTCTGCCAGCCTGGCTCCTTTTGCCTGTGGTGGGCTTAGGACCACTCCCATAAAGAACTTGGACCCCAGACCGGGCAGGGACAGTGGCTCTTCAGCCTCAGCTGGGCGAAGGTGTGCGTGGGCAGCCTCTGCACCTGGGCACCTTCATCCTGCAGGAGAAGTGGAAGCCTGCGTCCATCCTGGGCACTGCTCTGTGCTCCCCAAGCACCCTGATGGCTCAAAGCTCCACCTGTGCCACCTCTTCCCTCCCAAGAGGACTTACAGAAATGCGACAGGAACACCTGAGCAGGTTATCCCGCCCTTCCTTACACCAGGGCAAAGCTACAGGGAAATATAAACCTCTTTACTAGGCCAACTGGCAAACTATTTTTCTCCTTCTTCCAGACTATGTTAAAAAAAAAAAAAAGATAAATCTTTCTGGCTCTGGTAACTAGGTCTTTGTCCATCACAGGATTCAAATGCATGGAGAATCAGAAATATATACCAAACTTTCCTGGGATGAAAGCACAGCAGTTGTAAGCACAAGGACCTCAAATTAAATTTAGGGTTGTGTTTTTTTTCCTGTTATCTAAGTACCTGCCCCTTCCCAATAACTTCTCTTTTAACCTGTGAGTTGTGATTAAAGGGTAACCTGCTAATTGCTTCAGCCAACACACTAACACACTTATTCTTATTACCAAAGAAATCTCAGTGCAATTATGTGGCTGTCAGAACCGACCAAAGAACCTGAACATTCACCTCATTCACACAAAAATTTGACCTGGATCCATGACTCATATCTTCCTGAACCAGAATGCTGACACCGAATGCCAGGAACTTCAGATGCCACGTTGAGTAGGAACCATCCTTTATCTTTAAAGAGAGAGTTCAGAATACACTTTTTCCGTTACTAAACTGAAATATGTATTAGTCAGTTTTAGAAGAGTTTCACCATTTTCAGTCTCAGGAAATACCATAGTTCCTAAGAGCCACAGCTGCAAACTAGAACCCCATTGTGTGACCTATTGTACAAAAAGACTGAGATACTTTACAAAGACAATGCCCTCTCCGATTTATAATGAAAGTAGGAAATTAAAAATTTTCCTTTATGCTGAAAGGACGTATCTGATAATGCACACGCTATATGGGTCCTGCTGAGTGTGCTTTTTAAACCCAGTTGAATTCGCACTAGAAATAACACCGGAAATGCTGGCAAATTATTTCTCAGCTTCAGCCTAGGGCAGGGACCTTGAATACTTTGGACTGGTACAGACTGCAGGATAAGAATACTTCCTTTTAGAAGTGACTGACTATTCTGCTGAGGTTACAGACAAGTTAAGGACTCCAGTTGTCCCAGTACATGCAAGGCTTTCTCATTAATAACTCAGCTGTTTGTCCAAGCTCAGCCTATTGTGACAGGTATGACGGCACTCCTATTTTATTCATGCAGTTATGGCTGCATACGGTATTTAATTAATTAGGTACGTAACTAGGCAATTATGTATCTCACTAAGCAGTTATACAGTTATCTGACTTATACGTGAACTGAAAGCACAAGGCTGACTGTACAACTGTATATATGCTCACAACAGATGTAAATCACAAATCAGTTGTCTTTGCTTAACAGTGTGCAGTTGTCAGCCACCAACCCTGTTTATATTTTGTACCAGACAGGCTTCAGTTAATTCTATTAGGTAACAGCTTTCCCAGTTGGCTGGCAGCGTTAGGAGAGAAAGGTTTACAGTAAGAGATTTCATAGGTCTCAAGCAGAAAATTGGAAGTTGCTTTCTGAGAAGGATACAGTGAGAGTAAACAGCATAGTTTTTCTTCAAAGCAGTGTGGTAAAGCACACAGGTAAGCCTGTTTCCTCTCAGCCAGCCATCTGTCCCAGCAAGGCTTTGTCCCTCTCCTGTCATTAACATTGTTTTATTTCATTCTTAATATGAACACGGCAGTAAGAGAAGGACAATAACACATCCACAATAGCACAAAAAGCAACTTCCGCGTTATGGTGTTGACCAAATCTCTCTTGACCTTTTTGTTTCTTCTGCATTTGAAAGACAAAGAGAAAATAGTGGGGAATATGTCTTTTCATATACATAAGGCACTTGCGTTTATACTCTCTCTTTTTAAGTTAAAAGCAGTTCTGTGGCGCTTGCTTAACATTCATGTCACACTGTGCATAGACACATTTTTAGGCATGTTATTATATTTTTCTGTCCTAAGTACATTGGGTTTTGTGAGGCAGCAGATGAAGAAGCCAGAGCTCTCTCATTTCCCCTTTACCACCCCACCCCCCCCGCCATGATACTCCTTCACTTCTGTCTGCCCCACTCCCACAGACACACACCCCACATCACCTTTTAATCAGTGGGATCCTGGAACAGATACCAAATGAAACCCCATCTCCAGTGATACCCTGAAGCAGGAGCTTTCCTGAGCCAAATATTAAGAATTAAACCATACAGTGGCATTACTTTATTCTTTGTGAAGGAGGGTAGGATTAATGGGAAACCTGAATAGAGATTACTGGACACAACATCCAGTTCGAGCTGAAAATCCTGGAAAAAACAAAAATTATCAAAGAGCAAGCAGAGGAAGAATCAGGGAGGTTTGGAGGTGTGCGCTGTTGTCCGGCGCTCAGCACTCAGCTATGGTTAGGATAAGCCACCATTTCGCTGAGGCTGCAGAAGTGTTATTTACCCAGGGCACCGCTCTGAAGAAATTGCTCTGAAAACATTTTGGAGGACCCTTTCATTAGCCTCCCTCCATGATCAGAAACATCCTTCTAAAGAGAACAGATGACTTGGAGTTTACCAAAATGGTGTCCCCCAGTGTCTTCCCCTGCAGTGACACCCCCATCCCCAGCACATCTGCACCCACAGGCACCACTCTCCCCTCCCTGAGCATTCTGCAAATTTTGATCCTGTAGGTTTAGGGGGTTTTGGTTTGTTTGTTGTTTTTTGGGTTTTTTTTTGTCTCCAGGTTTCTATGAATGGGACGACACGAAAAAAAAAAACCCAAACCCAAAACTGCAAGTGCAACTGCTTGAATAGTTTTAGCGACTGAAACGTCCAAGAAACTGAGTCCAAGTGCCCTCTACTGGCATGGGAGCGAAAGGTGCGGCTGGATACCGTGGTGGGGAGAGGAGGGGGTGGCAGAAGGGGGAGGGAAGGGATATTAAGCAATAGTAAAAGGAAACTGTGTCAATAAAGTGGGTATGGCCTGAAAACTATAATCACATAGCAGAGCTATTAAGTTGTTGGCAGGCTGGGCTGTTAGTGTCATGTACGGTACCTGCCAAAAAGCATATTGCTGGTATGAAAGCAGTAACGAGCCAGGATGTTGAAACAACTTCTGTTTTGGGGGTGGGGAAGATAATGAAACTCTTTTTAATCTAGAGTAATGCGTGTCATTCTGGTACAGAAGATAACTTTTTTTTTTTTTTTAAATTTTTGTCTTTTAAATTTCACATTGGAAAAAATTAGTGAGGGAGGTAAGGAGGAAAACTTTTTATTATTTAGTTCTAAATGTCTTTATTTTAAAGCTGAGAAAAGCAGTTGTGCAACAATGACATTACCACATGAATCTGGTCCTGGAAGAAATTATATCATGTGTGCTTATGGGAACTTACTCCATGAGGTCCCAGGAATGCTGGGATTATATGTGTGCACATGCACGCACACACTGACAAAACAGTTCATGGAAAATCTGTTTCAGACAGTCATTTTTGGACACAACAACTCATTCTTGCCCTGTTAGAAAAGCTGGGTGTACGATTTTATTGGTACCACTGTGCTGACATTTAGTGAATTTGCAAGATCAAGAAGTACTGTGTACTATACAATTGTAGAGCATACAGATTTAACTGAGTTCAGTAATCCACAGGATCTTATCAACTGCCTCAATAAAAGCTAAAACAAACCTAACGTTATTATAGACAAACAGATTAACTGCAGTAGAACAGCAGGGCTATGGAAGAAAAGAGTTCAACCGAAATTCGAGCAGCAAACTTTGATAAACTGGTGGTCAAAAAATATATGCAATTATGGGAAAGTACTTTTCAATTCCTGTGATAACAGCAGCGACTTTTTTCAGATTTACTGAAGAGACCATGTCAAGAATGGCGAGTCACACAGCATTCACAAAACACAAAGGCGCTGGGGAAGTGAAGCCCAGCACAGGAGAGCTGGACGGAGATGGGATTCAGCTGCCGCATGAGGAAGCAACTTGGGGAAGTGACAATTTTGTCTGTTTTTCTGCCAGGAAGGCAGGGGAGGAGACTGTACAGAGCAGTCTGAATAGAACTGGATGGGATTGCAATTACTCACTGGAAGATTGATGCGATGATTGCAAATCTGTGTATGGTGTCCTTTTTCCCCTGCTATGTCCAGAATCAGTTTCAGAAATGTCACATGCTAAGTAATTCAGTAAGCAGCTGCAATATTTATCATGCTGGGAGAGGATGAGCGCCACTCAAGATTTGCAGCTTTGCATCTGTTCTGCACTCTGCGATTCTAGTAAATTGAGTTTAGGTAATCCTGATGTATATCCATTTAATTACAGTAAAAGCAAGTCAATTTTTGACATCTAAATTATCCTGGCACATGTTGAAACCTACCAGAAATGGTGACAAGACCTTGTGTGAAATCAGGTTCATGCACTATACTTTTTCTTAAAAACCATGTATTTGTTAGACTGGAACTTGAGGTGAGGATCACCTCAAGTTCCCAGTAGTCACCACCAGATCAGCCACACAGTATCAGCCTAAAAAAAAGCTTAAAGTCTTGGTCACCTTTCTAGTATAAAAATAAATAAATACAAAAATTCTCCTGCTAGCCAGTTAGCTTAGGGTCTTTTTCTGTATGAAACACATGTTGATATTTGATTACTCCCTCTAATAGTGTCCATCTGTGGAAAGGGCTGCAGTGCTAATACACATGCATGAAAGCAGTAATCTTATTTTCAATACCAAGGACTGTTTTATCTGCTTCATCTTTAATATTTCACTGCTTAGAACAGGTTGTGCATATGGTTCTGCAGCAGCTTGTTTGCAGTCCATTTCATTGTGAACACCTCCCTTTTCACACCTTCCCTTTTCCACCTGAGCTGATTCTTTATAAAATGCAGCAACATCAGCTTTTATATAGTGTTCATCATCTGGCCCGAGCCTAAACCTCCTCGTGGGCCGGATATTAAATCATAAACAGCTCAGGACTAGTTCTGATAATGAAAGTTAAATATCCCACCAAATGTAACAGGGGAGAAGAAAAAAAAAAAAAAAAAAAAAAAAAAAAAAAAAAAAAAAAAAAAAAAAGAGTAGTCTGTCTTGCCTAAGCGTGGACATATCTCACTGGAATGACAACCACGTGTGAATCAGGGCTATGGTGAGGCTGGGAACATTGTCCCCCGGAGACTGTTACCAAACCTGATGTGTGGAGAAACATCTCAGGTGTAATATACACTGGGAAATGTGAAATTAAGCACATATATGTAGCTATCTTTTTACATGTTCCTTGCATACTATTCTGGGAAGAGCCAGGCTTGTCCCAGGTTCTGCAAGCTCCCACAGGCAGCAGAGGATAAGCAAGCCCCACAGCCCCAATCCTGAAAACATAAAAATATTCCTCAGAAACAGGTAGTAAATTGTCCCCAAACTTACAAATCCAGTTCCAATCGAACATGATATTTTTCAACTTTTATAGGAACTAACACTACAGTCTCATAAACAGTCAGCTTGGGGGGGACTAAATTAAAAGTAAATGAGGAGGTTGAAAGCATGCTAATAATGTCAATTTGGGGTGACCTTTAAAATATCTCACTGCCAGAGAATCAGCATTCATAAAAGGTTAAGCTCTTTGAGAAGTTACAAGCCGAATACCCCAAAATTGAAGCATGCATAATCATTAGTCGCTTAGGAAATTCTTGGCAAACCTGTGTACATAAGAACAAAGATACATCTGTGAACAAAAAGCTTAAGGAACACTTTCTGCAAAACCCTAAATACTATTTCCATCCTAGAATACAGACATTTACAAGTAATTCTGCCAGTAACCAGTAGTAATTTTAGTACAATGTTTGTTTCCAAGTACTTGAAAGCACCTACTCTTGTGTAATGGACTAGGAATAGTAACTACCATCTTTACCCTGTCTACAGCAATTACCCCCCCCCCCCCCCCCTTGAAGCTAGAAAAATGAGTCACAGACTTGATGGAAAGAGTAAATTTTTCTAAATTCTTCGCCTTTCAGCATATGGTTTAGTTTCAGTTTTCTCCAAGCTAGAACAATATGCTTTACAGGAGACAAGATGATGAATGCTTAATTTTGGGTTCAGTTAAAACAAACAACTTTCTCTAAAAGCACATGCTTTGTTTCAAAGTGACATTTGTTAAAAGCCTCAGTGTCTGTATGATGTTACGTCACTGCAGGTCAGCTATCATGACTGACACGGTGACATGGGACAATGAAAGAAGGCAGATTTGCCTTAACCCTTGCCACGCCACATCTCCTTTACGCTCTGAACACACCACACACTTCAGGTTCCTTTTGCACTGTTTAAAACTCTTCACAAACATCAAGACAGACTACAAACTTCAGATATGTAGAGATTTTTGCTTGTTGAAAAAGAAAATAAAACCAACCACCACCACACCCCCAAGACTAGCCCAATAACAATAGACTAAATAAGTATTTACTCTAGAGCACACACCAAGAAACAATATTTCATGCTGCCTGGCACAGGCAGGCTTTCTGATGCTGATGTACCAAAACCCTCCACCATTCTCTCACATCAAGATACTCAACACAAGCCCAGCTTGGGTCTCTCAGTGAGGCTTTGAAGAGACATATCCCCCACTTACAAAACACCCACACATTTTACAGGGAAAGGCAACTTTAAAAAGTAAGCTTCTTATTTCCATAATGAATGTTCCTATGCACTTCTGGGCTTCAGTAAATTTACATTTTAACATTGCCATTCACCTTTAAATAAATATTGACAGAGGTCAAAGTTGTTTATGTTTTCAGGGTTGAAGTTAGGTGACTAAGTCCACATTTAGGCTTTTAACAAAAAGGCAGGAGAGCATATCACTTCACTGGGTTACAGGTGTGCAACACTTATGAAAGGTGGGGTTTTAATGAGGATTTGAGCTAAGACATCATCACAGCACTTCCAGACAAATCACACCACAAACTCCAGAGAAGGCTAACCCCAGAAAAGTCCATGAAGGGCTGGGATCAACTTGGGAGACTGCTAATGGACTCCATGTGAAAGGCTGAGCACATACTCCAGATTGAAAAGACAACAAAACAATCCCACATTGCTAGCCTGTCTGCCTGAGGGATGGTTCAGTAATGCACAGCTCCTACCTGGTCCAGTCCAAGCCTGGCCTTTCTTTTAGCAGCTAATGTGCTAGCTCTATCTTCCTTCCCAATCCCTTTCAAAGGAGCTCAAACCTCCTCAGCAACTCATATATGAAAACCAGCTGGGCTGATTCACCCCACTGCATTAATTAACCCTTACTAGGCCTCTGTGGGACCTGCAGAACCCACCACAACAGCAGATTGATGGAGACAAAAACCTAGTTTTTACTTAGCAGTTTTACTGGCAGGATTGTGTGGAGATGAGAGGGTGGGAGAAGAGAGCCAAAAATGGTTTTCAAGTATAGCCACAACATTGATAAAAGCCTTAGCATGGCTTTAGTCGTACTGGAATTAAATTTGTGTAGCTCATGTCTCTGGCAGGGGTGCTCCGCTAGCACAGTTGCAAGCACTTAGCCACAATCACCAAAATCCTTCTAGTGTGCACCATTATTGGGTTGTCTGGCTACAGGGAATTGTTTCTATAACATCTAAGACCAGGTTATGCTCCATGATTGCAGATTTGAATATAGATACAGCCATTTTGTATCAATAAGTAGGTGCTATTAAAGTAATCTAGCCTTAATTACTGAATTTGATGAAGGATGCCTGCTAATTTAGGCTGCAGACATTTAAGAGGTTACAGTCTCCACCTGCTTGCTTTCCTATTCCACTGGCAGCTGAGCAGGAGGACACCTTTCAGTCATCTCAGGTCATACCCAGGGATTTTAGTTTACAGAGATAAATATCCAAGGCTGTAAATACTTTAGCTGAAGAGCTAGCACAAGTTTACTTCTGCAAGTCTCCTATAGTACTTCCAGTGAGAATCAGCAGGCTTTAGGAACTCACCAGGTATCTATTTATCTGGATGTTTATATGAACCTGATCTCCTCAGCAATGAAGCATGATATGCATTCATATATAACATGGTATCACCTCCAGAGTGGTGGCAACAAGCAGTTATGTTCATGTATTTACTAGAAATAGTTTAAACTATGTAGAGATAGGAATTTATGTTCTCCTATACAGAGGCTGAGTGAGAAGGCTTTGAGAAGGAACAGATAAGGGCTCAGAAGCAGGCAGCAGGACATCTGCAAACTCAACTCTTGCTGTTCCTACAAGCCTTGCATTGTAGCAGTGATTACAGAGCTGCCCACTGCCCTGTTAACCCACGCTCCCTCCCAGCCCACACTGGTGGAGGCTGAAGCCAGCTGCTGGCAAAATCCCACATTTTTTTCCAAACCCTCTGTTTGCGCCCTCGAAGGGAGACGCTCCCTGAATGCAGCACTGTGACAACCTGCCTGCAGAGCAATCGTGACAGCAGTGTTTTGATTTGAGCCTTCCAAAGTGAATGAGTGATAGGAAGATTTTCAGTTCTACCAGACAGACATATGTTCACATTTCTATCAGTCTTTTGCTTATCAGGGGTTATATAATCTATTTGTGTAGGAATAGGGCATTTGATAATTACGTGCTTTTCCAATACTGTGAATCAGTGGTTAAAAAAAAAAGAAAAAAGGCAAAAGATTGCTTCAGAGGCAAGCTCAATTTTACAAGCAAATTTTTCACAAGCCACTCTTTTCCTCCACTCATGACAGCCACTGCCAGAGCTCAAAAGCTGCAAAGAGAAAGCTTCCTGTGATGACAGTGCCTCAACATACTGCGTTGCTTCAATCTCATTTACTCAAGTAATACAATTTCAGTTTATACCAGCTAAGAACCTATTTCTCCAATTGACTAGAAACTGCTGACAGAAAAAAAAATAGTGAAAACTCTGCAACTTAATCCTCACTTCCCTTATGTTTTCCAAACAACTTTAATGAAGCAATCACAAACATCTTTAAAATTTGTGAAGTACTGCAACAAAGATGAAGCTGCAAAATTCTAACCGTGTTTTAAATGTCCTGAAGATTGTGTCCAGGGTCTGTCTTTTCATTCACCATGCATTGTGATAATCATAAAGGACCTTACTCCTACTCTGTGTAAAGGTAGGTGAAGGGGTAGTGGTGAATGCTGCATCACCTGCTTACAGTGGGATGTGATAAAGAAGGAATTTGGACTTTGTACCTTTCCGTTTTAAAGTCAAATCGTTAATGCTTCCTGCGCAGGAGGCTGTTTTCCTATGCAGTTTAGGAGGTGACAAATTTAATAGGAAATGATTAAGTAAAGTCAAAGAGTGTTGATAAGGGATTCTTCTTCAAGGCTTTTGAGAATTTGTTTTCAGAAAATAATACAATCTTTAAGGAATTTATACACATCTTCGGCCTCCGTCAAGGCTGCTGCAGAATTTCCTGTTTTTGTGTTCTCAGAACTGCTAAACTGCTGAAGTTGCCAGTAAAGACCTGGGTGTGTTATCCAGAAGAGGTGGAGTCTATAGCAAATCCAGATTCTTCACTGATATTCTCAAATGATTGTACAGAAATTAGAGCTATTCCATCTCTTACCTCACAAATGGAGTCACTTCCCACAGCCACAACTCATCCTTGCATTAACCCTGTTTATCTCCTGTTGTGCTATCTTTTCTGTGTAT